GTTCTTTGATGTTTCGTCGACATATTTCTGTTGGTAAGCGATAAGGGCTCTTGCAATTGCTTGTCTAATGGCATAGATTTGAGAGACTTGTCCACCACCAGTCACTCTGATTTTCAAGTCAAGTTGGGCGTAGTACTCTTTTCCGATGACAAAGAGGGGCTCGAACGCCTTGATTCTCAACATTGGTGGCTGGATCAAATCCAATGGAACACCATTGACTCGAATCATTCCTTTGCCTTGCTTGCACAACGCAACAGCAATCGCGGTCTTCTTCTTCCCAAAGACTTGAACAGACTTGATCGGTTCGGTGGCGACCTTCTTCTCCTTCTTCGTGACTTTCTTTTGCGCTGTAGCGGCTGCCTTCACTGGTGCTTGAACGTCAGACATCCAAATGCAAAGGGTTAGTTCCTTTTTTCTTCTTCACTTCGCAAGTTTTTTATAGTTTCTTTTAATTCTTTTATTATTCATATATAGTATATTTCCCTGTCAAAAAGGGTCAATCTATTTTTATCTGTAACTTAAACTATTATTATATAGTTAATTCTAAAAAATAAACTACAAAACAATAAAATTAAACTAATATACTATAATTTAATTTGTTTAATAAACTATATATATACTATAACAGAGCTATACAGATACTATAAAAGTTACAATCGATAATGAGTTAAGAGGAGAAAGCTCTCTCAATGGAAGCCATACAAGTGATGCCATTGACGTGGTAATTCACAACATCAAGGCGTGCGCGAACTTTGTCGCCTTTTTTGATGGAAAACCCACTGTTCTTATCAGTGTCGACGTAGCAATTGTTCGCCTCGTCAAACTGGCAGTCAGCAACTTTCTTGAAAGAGACGTGGATGTTTTTCCAAGCCCCGGCGTCGACAATAACTCCGTCGTTCGAGACATTGGAAATCACACCATCAACAACCTCTTTGTTGATAAGTTTTTGGACAATGGCTTCGTACTTCACACTGAAGACAACGTTGCCCGTGCCTTCGGCAATCTGGTTGTCATTGTTTTGTTTTCAATTGTTATAATTAGCGCCTAAAATATCATCTCGTTCCATAAAACATGTTTTTTCATCAAAATTTTGATTGAATGACAATTTGAGATTGTTGTTGGAAAACGACAAGACATATAAGAAGGAAAAAAAAGGCAAACTCTGAGTGGCTTTCTGTCAATAACACGCGTCACACAAATAACTGAACATTCATAGTCCTTGTTGTACCCCGTTTTCTGATTGATTATGTCGTCAATATATCTTTCGATTGTAGGTGTCAAGTGCTCCGGGGTAATTTGCATGGTGTGCGATAATTCTAGCTGTCTGTTATTACTACTTTAGCAAAAAACACGAAGGCAATGAAATGAAAAACTTTAAAGAACATCGAAATGCCCTTTTCAAGTTTTTCTCTTTTTTGTGTTTTTGCGTTCTCTCTATATATTTAGACCTAATAATTATAATTATTTTATAATTTGTTTTTATAATTTCACAATTAAAAATATAAATGTAATAAAAATTTTTTGTTGTTGTTTGAATAAAAATGGTTAATATAATTATATTTGATTTAATAATAATTTAAGTTGAATAGTGTATAATTAATAATTAATTATTATTAATTATTAATTATTAATTATTAATAAGTTATTTAATAATCTTTTGTTATAAAAAAACTATAATAATAAACTAATAATTATGACTGAACAAAACGAAACACAAACACCAATTCCAACACAAAGTGAAACCAAAACTGACACCCGTTCCGCCACACTATATATAAACAATTTAACTCAAGCATTCAAACCATCAAAACTCAAAGCACATTTGACAAAACTATTTAGTCCGTTTGGTGTAGTATTAACAGTTCAAGTTCGAAAAGCTCGAGCTATGAGAGGTCAAGCCTTCGTAGTTTACAATTCGATGGATGCGGCCGAACACGCGTTTTTGTCTCTTCAAGACAATTCACTTTTTGGCCGGCCGATGCACATCGCGTATGCCAAAACGGAATCTGACGCCTTTGTCGCATCAACCGGCCGCAAAATCTCGCGTGTCAAAAAACCGAAAAGTGCAGAACTCAAAATTTCTGCTCAAAACGAAAGTGCACCAAATCAAGTTAATGTCGGAACGAGTGCGGTCGATGGTGTCGGGAAAGTTCAACGAGATTTGACAAATGACACAAATCCTCAGAACGAGCAGACAAGGGTTCAACCAAAAATTGAAAAACCGATGATTAACAAAATACTTTTCATTGAAAATGTTCCAAAAAATTATGGAAAAGATGAACTTATAGCTTTATATACTAAATACTCTGGTTTTTCTGAAGTCCGTTATATCAAAGTCAGGGGCAGTGGTGTTGCTTTCATCGAGTTTAGAGACGAACAATCGTCAGAAATCGCTCTGAACGAAACAAACGGAAAAGACGGGTTAGTTTTACAGTACGCTAAAAAGTAAAAGAAAATTATGTACTATTCATTTTAATTATAAATCGTATTTAATTGTTAATATAAAATTGAGTTAAAGCAAATTACTGTATTAGTTTTTTTTATTAATTTATTATTTTTATTATACAAATATTTTCAAAAATTAAATTATAAAAATTTAATAGTATTATTAATACTGTATTAGTTATAACAAAAATGTAAATTAAACTATCCTATTTACTTTGATTGTTTATTGATATAATATTATTAAATATTAGTTAAAATTTTAAGACTATTGAAAAAAATAAAAAAATAAATTTATTTTTTTATTTTTTTTTAATAAAAAACATTTTGATAAATAAAAATGTTTTTTAATATAATTTAATTAATAATTAATTTACAATATCATTTTATTATAATATTTATTATAAATAATTATAGTAAAATTAAAAATTACAAAAATAGTTATTTTTGGGACCTACATTGACCACCACCTCTTAAAATAGATTTATTTTTTCTATTTCGAATCATATTCAAATTATAGTAAATAGGAAACTGGGATAATATTAGGTCTGGTTCCCGAATTCAAGAAATGCCGAAAATTCACCTCGAGTCAGTGGAAACCGAGAAAGACGGAGCATTGAAAAGAAGGCTCATAAAGACGCACTCAAACAGTCTGTTTGTGCACCGTTTCACCCACTTTCCAAGTCCTCCCTTGGCGCGGATCCCCCCTGACCCCCCCGCAAGCGGGGGGGAACCACATCCGCGTCCACACAGTACGGACAAGGAAAGTGGGTGACATGGGGATGCACAAACAGTGGCTGAAAAGTGGACTTCCTTCAAAAAACACTCGCGGCAAATATTTTTTTTTTGGTAAAGGTGGTGGTGGTGGTCAATGTAGGTCCCGTTATTTTTAATAAAAATTATTAGAAATTAATGAATAATTATTATTATTTTTTTAATAAAATAATAAATATTTTATTGTTTTTTTTTTATTGTTTGTTAACAAATGATTAGTAAATTTACTTTGGTTAGATTAAACAAACAAATTTATAAAAACTAAATTTTTTAAACAAACTAGAGTTTGTTGTAAAACGTTGTCCCAGTCGCCAACGTTGTTCTTTTTATCAATTTATACACAAATAATTGAATAAAACCCCGGGAATTAGGTAAAAATTAATAAATTGAAAAAAATTTAGGAAAAAAACTGAAACGACGCTTGTTTTATATGTTGAACATGATCCCGATATTTTCCAATTTTCATTGACCAAAAAGCCCAGGACAACGTTTTTGGACTAACTTTAAAATATTAACTATAATTAAATTAAATAATAAATAATAAAATTTACAATCAATAAAAATGTATTTTTGTTACTATAAAACAATTGTTTACCAAAAAAATAAATTATACAAAAATTAAAAATTTTATTATAAGAAAACAAAATAATAACCACTGCACATTAATTCAAAACTTATTACCATTTTTTATCATCTTGTGCACATATTTTACATTTTTTTTGTTCATTTATTTTGCAAAAAAAAGTCGAGGTATTATTATTAAAAATAAATTAAAAATAAAAATAATAATTTATGTTTTTTATATTAACAAAATTGTTTAATCGTCAAAGGGTTTTTTACACAAAATTCAAAATACAAAGATAAATTCAATAATGTCTCTTCAACTTAATATAACGATAAAAATGGTTTATTTTTACTATATACTAGTTTGATTCCCAATTGTACAACAATAATCCAATTGTTTAAGTCAAAATATTCCTTTTGTAACCATAAAAAACGTTAGAAAGGGGTGATTTGTTTTGTAATATATATTGCAATTTTAACATTAAATTACACAATGTAACAAATTTGAATAAGATTAACTGATTAAATGGTTTGTTGTCACCAAAAATACTAAAAAAGCCGAATAAATTGTTTTCGAAAAACAAATGTTCAATAAAAACACGACGCCACATAATATGGAAACTCAAAACAAGACTTAATGGACGAGATCGAAGCAGAAGAATTCAACGAAGATATCAAGACATACACACCAATCCCAAATACTTTTAAACCTCCGTACCACTGTATTCAATCATATGAAAAAGGAGTTTCCGGGTATTTTAAATTCCGGACTGAAGCATTTAGTAATGGCTCGATAGACAAGGTGAAACACATCTTCATGGATCGTAACACCTTTTATTCCTTTAGTCCAGAAACCCTAAAATTTCACTATAACGAAGCAACAAACATCACTGATATTCAATCACTGTGGATAGCAGAAAACTATCGACAGAATTACAAATGCGTTGACCATCAAAATTACATTCCAACGAAGTGCGCATCTTTCTATCAAACCAACTTCGCTCCACCGAACCAAATTGAGTTGACCTTTTTTGCTGCTTGTGCGCATCAAAATGGCATCAAAATATTTTGCACTATGAAAGTTCAAAATGGTACATTACGCAAGAAGATGATGCGGAATGTTTTAAATCTACAACGAGAATTCATTTACTATGTATGTGAAACAATCAACTCAAATGAAGTCAAATTGATATTAGACTTAGAACATGAATTCTATCAACGAATGGGGTATCTAGATATGTATCCTCGCATTATCTTCTCCAATAACTTCGTTTCAATATTAACTAACACTGACTACTCCGAGGTGGTAGTCGTCGGTAAAACAAAACATATTAACACCTTTGAAAACCTTGTTAGTGGGATGTTGGGATCTTCTTATAACACTCCTTTATTCACTACAAACAAAACTCTTTCGAAAAATAAACTTATAGTCCACAAACATGTGACTTCCCCTTTCTTCGGCGATACCCCTAAATCAGGTGACTTGATATACGTCTCTCGTGTTGTTGAAGGTACTGTCTTCCTTGCTTCTCAGTCCGTTAAAGTCTCTTTTTGTAATGAGAAACACACGGAAACAGACTTGGAATTGATTTTAAGTGCAGAACTTTTTGAGGTCGTGTCCGATGACGTCATCCACTCCAATTTTTATTATCACTTTCGTTCTTGTGAACTCTCTACTATGCCCGACACTAAAAGAACAAGGACGATCCTTAACTTTTTCTCATCGTTTTTGTTACAACGAGCGGGGATTGAGTATGACCTTGACTTCCCTATTTTTTCACATGAAAAAGACTTGGCTAAGCAAGTCCTTTGCCAATCAATTAGGGTTTCCACAATTATTCAACAGAAACACAGAAAAACGTATTTTGAAAAAACGTTATCACAAAACGCTTCAAATGACAAAGACAACTCCCTCTTACCATTGGATCCGATCGTCCTCACAAAAATATTTGAATATTTACCAATGGAAGATTTGTTCTCGTTAATGCACACGTGTAAGAAATTAAATGGAGTAGTCCTGACGTGTGACTCCATTTGGGCCAATTTCCACCATTTGTATTTCCAAACGGTAGGGTTCAAGAAAATCAGTTATCACACGCCACACCCCCCAAAAATAGACTTTTCTCGAACAACCTTTCAAATTGTACGCCGAGCAAAAGTTCTTGAAAACCGGTGGAAATATAATTCGCCTATTCAACGAAGAAATGTCGCAATCACAAACAAACCAATCAAATTTCTCTTCCCACGTTTAGTTGATCGAAATAAATTTATTCTCTGTGGAAATGGCTTTGTGAAAAAATTGAATTACAGCACATTCAACTGCCACAACGAAGTCGCCATTAACGACGAAATTATCACCGCAGAAGTCGAACACCGAGAACAAAAGATGTTTGTGCTCACTAAAAGTTGCGAATTGATTCAACACAGTTTGAACTTTAACACACAACCCGAACATTACCAAGTTGATGCAATTAATGGCGCGACGATCATCGAAAGCGCAACGAAGATCTTGGGGTGGAGAAAGAATGTTGTTAAGGTATTAGATGTCACTTGTGGGCTCTACGAGGACTTTTCTTTCTCGACAGAAGACAACGTGAATTCCATGGAAAAGGTCGACGAACATTTATTAGCGGGCAGCATCGGTGGAAAGACTGTCATGTTCTTTGATGAAAGGACTGGGAAAGTTGTTACTAAGATTCATGATTTCCCAGACCAAAACGTCGTCTTTGATATGTTCAATGATTATCTCATTGTTGGTACACAAAGTGGGAAGATAGGGATGTTCGATCGAAGATTCGGATTGACTTGTATTGACACCAGAGAGACTCTTTATCCCATCGAAATAGTTAAATGTTGGAATAAGAAGATCGTTATCGGTGAGAAAAATGTTGTGTCGTTCTTCGATTGCAAAAATGGGTCTTTGGGAGTGTTAAGGCAATTGTATTTACATAAGGATAAAGTGTGCTCAGTCGATTTCGATGACGACTTTGTGATGAGTGGGTCGAGGGATGGAAGTATTATATACACTTCATTCTTGTAACATTATATTATTATAATTCTATTGTTTGTTAGTTTGTATTAAATTTTGCGTTTTTAGTTATTATTAAATACACATAGTTAAAATTATTAGTAATTATAGTTGTTTGTATCTGTTTTTATGGTTTTTTTATCTAAAACGAAAATAATAAATATTTACTAATTAGAAATAGTTTATTTTACTAAAATAAAATTATACTAAAAGTAAAATAGATTATAGTATTATTAAAAGTTCGTATAGTTCAATTATTGATAATTGGTTAATTACTAAATACAAATCATAAAAATAAACTATTTGAAATGATTTTTAATATACTTCAAAAAAAACATAATTTTATTAAATTCTGCTAACTATAAAAGAGATCAAGACTAATTACAAAGATGATAACTATCAAATTGCGAGAGAATAGCAAAGACATTTTCACTTCAGTGTATCCAGAAACGACGATCCGTGATATCAAAATGAATTCATATCCGATGCAGTGGTCTCGAGGAGACAATATTGCAGTTTGTGATTCACATTGTTTTAAACATTACTTAACAGTAGTTTCTGTTTATGGGACAAGAACTTGAAGACAACCACACTGCTTTTGAGTCTGGTCTCCAAGAAGGGTCCTGTGTCGTTGTAAATTTCTTCAGAAACATGGGCGGCGCCCAACGAAGTGTTCCGACTTACAGAAACTACCAAAATCAACGAGCTGAACAAGCAATGGAGAATTCTGAAGAGTGTATGGATGTGTTACTTCAATGTGTGACACCATCAACGCTTTATGCCTTTGTGGGACTCCTCTTCTTGATTATCATGGTTATCAGAATATTGGTTCCAGAGATCTTCACCGTGGCCTCCGATTTGGTCATCACGTGTCTCCTTCTTTTTTACCTCTTCGCGCTCATCAAGATGTTCGTTATCAGAGGATGAGGCACAACAAATAAATAACTCAATTAATGTTGTTGATCTCATTTACAATTCAAACTTGATCTGCCCAAATTTCGAATTAAACGACGTGACAGAATCGCGGAGGTCGTTCCACCTTTTTGTCTTCTCGGCTACCTCAATGCGCAACCTTTCGAGCTCTTCAATCTTCGAAAAGACCTTCCCAAGCTTGGCGGAGACATTGTTACTAAATCCAGAACACAGTTTCATTGCCGATTCTGAATAGTTATTCAACAACGCAAGAGCCTCTTCTTGTACCTCTTCGAATCGTGTTTGTTCATCTGCCGTGAACCTCGCTTCTTCCTCCATCGAGTTTTGTGTCATACGATTCTATTTCCTTTCATTGTCCCATTTCAAATATTCTTTCATTCCACCACAACAATCTTTCTTTTTTTTAAGTGTGGTAATTATTATAGTAAACTAACCATTGTTAATAAATACTAATGTAGTTAGTATTTTAATTAGAAATTTTAATACAGTGTTCATTGGTTTCAAATCGATAATATTTTTTAATAAATCGATTATGTTTTTATATATATCGACAGTATTTTTTATAGTTTATATTGTATTTAATGAATTATATTACTTTTAATGAAATAGACTGTTTTTTTTATAAATTATATAGCATTTGATGAAATAAGCTGTGTTTTTTATAAATTATATAGCATTTAGTGAAAGTGATTATATTTGTTATAAATTATATGGCATTTTTCTAATTTATACAACATTTTTAGTAAAATCAATAGTTTTTTTCTAAAATATATAGGATTTTTGATAACTTATATAACTTTTGTTTGAAAATGTTTTGCTTTTTTTACAAATTATTGGATATTCCCGAATATTAGGAATAAAAATACACATAATAAGTAAGTTATTATTTGTTAAAAATACTTAATATGTAACTATATTTATACTATTATATAACTACTATCATATAAAATGTTAATATTTCTTGAAGGGGCAACATTATAGGTTGTACAGGTTGCTCTTGCGAGGATAATGGTGCATTTTCATGATAGTCGTTTCTTGCTCCTGGATCTCTTCTGTCGATATAATCTAATTGCATGATATCATTTTTTGCCCGTTATTTAAATATACATAATTATGTTAAAAAAATATCCTATTTGTGAAGAGGTTCTAAATAAGAATAGATTAAAACGTAGTTATATAATAGTATAAATATAGTTACATATTAAGTATTTTTAACAAATAATAACTTACTTATTATGTGTATTTTTATTCCTAATATTCGGGAATATCCAATAATTTGTAAAAAAAGCAAAACATTTTCAAACAAAAGTTATATAAGTTATCAAAAATCCTATATATTTTAGAAAAAAACTATTGATTTTACTAAAAATGTTGTATAAATTAGAAAAATGCCATATAATTTATAACAAATATAACCACTTTCATTAAAAGTAATATAATTTATAAAAAAAACAGTCTATTTCATTAAAAGTAATATAATTCATTAAATACAATATAAACTATAAAAAATACTGTCGATATATATAAAAACATAATCGATTTATTAAAAAATATTATCGATTTGAAACCAATGAACACTGTATTTATTTCCAAAAAAATCAAATTTGATAAAATTAAATGGTAGATGTGTGGAACGAAAGGATTTTTAAGTCCAAAAAATGACAAGCAAAAATGATGTGACTAACACCATCAAGTTATTTGACAATAATTTGATGGTGTTTAGTTCATCAATTGTTGTATAACCATCGATGTGAACGTAGAGCGTAAATAAAAAACTCAATCAAAATGCTCTCATGTTTCTCAAGTCATGAAGTTTCTTGACAATCTCTCCAACTTCTCGCTCCATCTCCCCTGCAATTTCTTTTTTTTCTTCTTCGGTCAACTTCTCAAACAACTCGCACAAATCCCCGTCGAAAATTCCTTTCACTGGAACAACGGAACTTCTGTATGCAATGTGGTCTCGTCCATTCACATTTTGGTGTCTTACTCTCATATGCATTTCAAGCTGTTCGAAGAACTCGATTTCGCCAAATCCGTTGAGTGGGATGAGCGCTGAAATTCCACCCAATAAGTGGCTGACTATGAAGATTTGTGGTGCCCCTATTCTGACACAACAATTCACAAAGCCAGTCGCGATGTCTCCCAAATAGAACTCATTAAGACTGACTGCTTTATACTTGGCACCATTATATATCGTCTTTTCTCCGCTCAAAATCGACGAAAAGATATTTGACGCATTCTCTTCTGTTTCTTTATCAAGTCCTTCAACAAAGATCTGTCCAAACTTGTCAGACCCGATATAGCTTGTTGGTGTCAGTGCAACACTTTTTACAGTCCACCTCGGCAACGTGTCTGCGTATATATCAAATTCCTGTTTTGTCTGATTAAATCGAACAAACGAAATACCGTCGCTGATCCCCACCAATTGTATCTTATTGTTGATCACATGGATGTCCGATATCTCCGAGGCGAGTTGTCGTAACTCAGCCTTTCTCAACAACTGTTTCTTCCCAATTTCATACATTCGGAGTTGTCTGTTAATTCCACAGAGTACACGACCGCCATACACTGCCATTGAACGAACTGGGTATTCTGTCTGTGTGGTATAGAGATACTGAATGTTGTCTACATTAACTTTATAAACGGCGATGCTACTATTTGTGAATTTAATGGGTCGACTTGTGTATTTTTCAGCAAGGCCAACCACCAAATAAATTGAGTCGGAAACGGTGAGTAACGTCCCGCACAATGCGTACACATTTTGTGGAAATTTTGTAACAAGTTCTATTTTTGTTGCTTCTTTGTCCATGCGGTATATCGAAGACACCCACTCCCCATCATCACCTCGAATGATCTCATCGTTTGCATATTTCGAGAAATTATCTGCACATAAAACAAAAGTGTCTTCAACTGTTTCACTCTCCACAATTTTCCTTGGAGTCATGCATAATGGCACTTTCACACCACTCAACGAGGAAGTCGTGTTTTCAAAGACAAGAATCTTCAAAATATTACCAGAAACCAAAGCAATTGGGTTGTCCACAAAACTTGCTTTAAACCCCTCCACACCATAAATATTGGGTTGATCCAATGGAGTACTTTTGATTTGGCCATTTGACGTTGAGAGTAAGATACCATTACCATTGTACCCAACCATCCACTCTTCACCAGACTCACTTGTTGTGTAGACTCTTCCTAAATTAACGTTTTGAACACCAACAAACTCAAAGTTGGTTTCTTCAATTTCACCTGAGTTGGAGTCGAAAAAGCACCACGCGAGTTTACCATCATCAAGCCCAGCAACGATTATTTGCTTTGAATTTAATACCCCAAATTTGACGTCGTTAATTGCAGATTCCAATGAAATGACCGAAACACGTGTCAGTGCTTTTGTTGTTTCTGTGTTGAAGAGTGTGAGTATACGAATCCCCCCATCCTCACACGCAACTGCGCAGAACTTTGGAACTTCCTTGTTTTCAATGGTGACACTTCGGATCTTCCCAAACGACCCTTTAGACTCGATTTCGTGTAGCCCCCCATCCTCGTACTTGAATAACATGATAACGTTATCGTCACCTTTCGACACCCCAACCACAACAAAAGATTCCACAATAGCAGCACACACGATATCTCCAACAACGGATACTTCTTTGATCTTACTTGTATATACAACAATCTTCTCTTTCAACACCTGCACAAATGTACCATCTGGCATCATTCCAATTCTCACAGAGTAGCTGCTTAATATGACTGGTGTCTCGTCAGTCTCTTTAACTTCGTCCTCACTGATCTTTAAAATACTCGTCGCATTTGCAAAAGGTACTACCAAATACTCTGAGACATCTTTACTCCTTTGGAGTGGATAGACGCCCATGGCAATGGCTGGTAATGTGATCTCAGCCACTTCTAGTGTTTTCATTTGGTGTTTGAGGACTTGCACACAACTTGAGGGACCTCTTCCCGTGTACAGTATATACTTGTTCGCCGTTTTCTTGTCATCGCCATAACACACAGACATCCCTGTGATCGGTGCGTTCGACTTAAAATTTGATATCTCGTCCAAGTGCCTCACCGAATCATATCGCGTGATTTTTAGTGGTGTTTGGTCTTTCTTTGCATCGAAAAAAGGTATTTGCACCATCCCATTCGTTTCTTCTTTCATTTCGACTTCCTGTTGAGTGCCTTCATGTTCTTCGCTCTCTTCATCCCCCAAAGAAGTTATTTGATACAAATGTGAATCGTTGAACTCACTTGCTGTAAAGATGTGTCCTTTCTTTGATATAATCATCCCTAGAGTACTTTGTATAGTGTCAAAGTATGTAAGTTTCAAATCCGTTATATCTCCATTGTCTTCCGTTTGAAAGTGTATTCGAAACAAATCACCATACTCGCTTTGAACCAATATGAAATGTCCTGTTTTCATTCTCAAGACCACATGTGATACAATTAAAGTGCTTTGCGTCGTTTCTTCGTCCATTTTTGGTATTTCGATGCTTTGAATTGGGTGTCCTGGATTGTACCAACTGATTCTATTTTCGCTACATATGAACATCCCAAGATGGACGTCTTCTTTCAGTGTTGGAATAGCTAAAGAGTTATTAATGATAAGTATGTATTAAAATTGATCTATATAATAATAATTATTATTATAATACATTCTTCAATAATTTTATCTTCTTTTAATTATTTAAAATTACTTTAATTTTAATTTAATTAAAATAATAGTGTTCAACATACTATTACTTTAATTATTTCGTGTGTTTATTCTCGTAATATAAGAGTAGAAGAAACAAACGGATGATGTGGTTCGCTGTCTCGTTGATGGGCTCTGCTGATTTTCTCACCACATGATTTAATCCCAAATCCATCTCGTACAACACAATGAATTTCTTCACGATGCGATCTTTAATATGAGGTAAATACTGTTCATTGTAATCAACTTCAATGGCAGCAAACATTGGGTTGTCAAACCCAACATCCAAAGCAGCTAAGTCAAAGCAAATTGAGTTACTCTTATTTGCCTCGAGGGGGGACGATATAGTGACTTCGCCATTCGAATTTCTATTCATCACATACACAAACTTTTGCTTCTCAATTGCAGAGACCATCACCGCTCTCCCCGAAGGGTCCGCTACTATATATTGCCCCGGTACAACGCGACGGATACCACTTTTCCCAAATATTTCATTATGAATTGTCTTCAGACTATTTGTGTGGGCGTCATACGAGAGCAAACAAACCGACCCCGAGTCACTTCCAAGCAAAATGTAGTCTTTTCCCTCGTTCCCTATTTTTATAGTGCTAATTGCTCGAATTAATGAAAACGTTGGTGTTTGTGTCAGTAACTCGATGCTATCTTCGCTAATTCGATAGATTTGAAGGAGGGTCTGTGCTCGAATTAAAACCAACTCAATTGAATTTGTACCTGAAAAATCGCCAAAACACGACGAGGTCACTGTGCTGTTCTCTTCGAGTGTTAATGAGACGTAACTCATTGTGTTTTTTATGAGATCTTTAGTCTTCCAAGTTGATAGTTATAATAATAATAATATAGTTATATTTAGATTATGCTACTTGTTGGTGGAAAAATAAATTAACGAAGTAAATTTAATGTAAATTAATTAACGAGTTACTTTCTGTTATCTCGAGATGACGATGCAAATAATACCGACGAACAACACTAAAGTTCCAGCCGCAAAAAACATGAAGTTCCTCCACCCGAAAATTTCCTTGAAGACGACGATTCCCCACAGTGAAGAAATTAAAGACGGGAGTGTACATACAATTGGGTACACTATTATGTAAGGCAGTGACGTGTTTGCATAGAACAAAAGTGCTTGTGCCAACCCCCACATGACACCAGCGATTAAAGCGGGCATTGTAGTTGAGCTGTAAACAATCGGCTTATTTCTAAAGACAATACAATAAGCTAACAAGAAGAATGTTGAAGAGAACATAATGCCACAGTATTGGGAAAAGACATAATCAATACCATTAGGGGAGCCTTTCCCACTGTTTTTCAAGTAATTTGGAGTGTCTAAATTTGACCCATACATCATCCCAGAGATCACTGATAATATGACTCCAACTATTTTCTTTGTTGTTTTGGGCATTTTGTCTATCAATAAAAAGATGGGAGACTTCACATCTTGTTGCGACGGAATTTGTGGAGGTGTTGTTGGAGTACTTTTTATAGCACTTTCAGTACCAACTTTCTCATTCAAATCAATTTGACTGTTCACATCTTCATTGAGAACTACACTAATATCACTCTTCCCGCTCTTCTCGGTGTCTTCATGAACTTTATCATCAACATTTTCTGTCACTTGTGGAATCCCTTCGTCGTATAATTCAATGGCTTTATCACTCTCTTCATCAGGAACTTTCGTGTATTTCTCTGATGCGACAACTTCAGACTTGTCTCTGACTTTAATTAAAGCATATAAGGGAACGGAACACACAGATAACAGAGCACCAATACAGTTCAACCAAAAGATTTGAATGTCGTTCTTGTCCGCGTTTAACCCAAAGAGTCCAAATGTCCCAGTAACCCAACCGGTGACTAAATTAAAAGCTCCCCATATACACGGCCCCAGTGATATACCAATACACTGTATAATAGGCACACTAAACAAATTGCCAATAACAAAGATAAGTCCGCCAACCATCGCATATGGCTCAAAATAGATTGGACCAGGGTTTAAAACACCATTAAACAGCATCACAAAGACTCCCGATATGAAAATCCCAGAGCACACGACAAATTGATAGTAAAGTCCATCTCCGGCTTCAAATTTCTTCACAGGAACCAAAAAACTGCCAAATAAAAGAACGGAAAACAACAAAGCAACATACCCAACTATCGTCTCTAATACCGAAGATGTTGCTCCATCGGAATCTATCGAAGAGCTTGACGTGTATGACATTGGAATGACTCTTTGATATTTATTGTGAAGGAGTTGTCTTCATTTTTGGGCTGAATTATTATTATGGTTATTAATAGTAAATAATATCAATAAGAAATATTAAAAGAAATGGTTATAATAATAATTAGAATAACTAAAAATATAATATAAAATTACATTTTCATTTTTGTATTAAATAGTATAGTAGTTTATTATTAATTTATGTTTTTATAAACCTAAAAATGAAAATGATGACGTCATTATTATTTTATTATTAAATTATAATTAAACAAGAAAATACAAAAATGAAAAATACCTTTCTTTTAAATTAAAATGTTATTAGTTATAGTATAGACAATTACATTCTATTGTGTATAGTTAAATAACTATCATTATATAGGAAGTCTCCATTACATTGAATTTATTGGTTTTATATGTAAGAAGACAACGTCAGGGGGGCAATTAAATCTGAACCCATAGTGAGACCCGACACCACTAGTAATAACAAGAGGAAATGGTATATAGTGTATTCCAGTAATATATTTCCACCTCTTCAAATCCAACAGTCTTAAATACATTCTTCTCCACCATTTTACAGACCACTCAGGAAACAATACAAGTGGACATCCTACAAAAGGAAGAGCGACTTGTCCAGCATGTGTGTGCCCACAAAAGACCCCAACTATCTTTGGTGTTTCATGGTTTGAGGAAGATTTGAGAAACACATTGTCACAGAGTACCGATGGAGTGTGTGATAAGAGAAGTACATTATCTTCACACGATAATTCCTTTGGAAATTTTAAATTGTGTTTTGAGGTGTAATAGTGAATGCCATAGACATTCAAGTCGTCGATTTTGGTGAGTTTGTCGACTAACAATTCAACATTCATCGACTTTAAGATGTTCTCCAGATATAACGGAGGGTTTCCATCTAAGATGTCATGATTTCCTAAGACTGCAATACACCGAATTTTACTTGTGATGGATGTAAAAGCCCACTTGAACTGAAGTGCATATTTCTGGTCTTTTTGAATAAAGTCTCCTAAAAACAAAATGATGTCGGGGTTCGACGTCATCAACGATTCAACGACTTCTTGAATAAGTTTGGGGTGGTATGAAATTTTGTTTTCATCGAAGTGTAAATCTGAGACTAATGCTATTTTATGTTCTTTAGTAATATCTGGAAGTCTAATTGTGTGGTGTGTTTCTTTAATGGTATGAAATTGAGCCGTGTGAGTGTATAGAAAAGAAATAAAAAGAAACAAAAGAAAGATGAAGACATTACCTGTAATAATATAGATAACAAAAGTTAATATCAGAAATATTAATCCCATTGGCAACATCACTCTCTTATTTTAATATGTATGGATTCTTTGTTCATGTATTAACTAATAATAGTAAACAAAACTTATGTTTGTTTTTCAACTTAAATGAATTTATTTATTTAAATTATAATATAATATAATAATAATATAATAATTTAAATATTTAAATATTTACAAAATCAAATAACAAAATAATCAATAAATGTTATTAACTAAACTAAAAACAGCAACATTCAAAAAGAGAACTCAAAGTTTGTGTTTCAAAAAGTTTTAGATGATTACATTCAGCAATTTTTGGGTCATTTTTTTATTTGTTTTTCTTAATAACCCCGTTTTCTTTTACATATAATGTGTAATATTACTCATACATTTTTGAGAAAATAATTCGATTTATCTCTTCTTCTTAGTTAATGTAAAAAAATACTATTAAATTTAATTATTACTTATGGTACAAATATTTTAATTAACGAAACACACAAACTGTTTTCTTATTTACGATTAAGTTAGTAAAAAGAGCTATATTTTTAAAAAATGTTATATAAAAAAACAAGAAAAGAAGTTTAAAACTTGGAAAGACAGAGTCATGGTGCGTGGTCTTCTTCTTCTTTTAATTTCTTTTGTAGCAACAGCACTCCCAGAAGTTGGCGATTTGTGTTGTTTTGACAAAGATGGACAGGGTTGTGACTGTATGGCTGTGTATACATGTAATGTCCCTGCGATGTACTTTGGGTCAGAGAACACATACCTTCCACCATGTGCATATGATGAATGCAAAAAGAATTGCATATTTGCCGACTGGCTCATATCCATCATTTGCACTGTGGGGGTCTTTTTCGTCGATTTATTACTTATCGGAACACTTTGGCTTATGTGTAGAAAGAGATGTGAAAACTAACTTGTTACTTAATTAATAATTAATAATTAATAACTAATAACTAATAACTAATAACTAATAACTAATAACTAATAACTAATAACTAATAACTAATAACTAATAACTAATAACTAATAATAAACAAATAATTAATAAGTATATAATATGATTTTAATAAAATATTATAGTTATTTATTGTTTTTTTATTTAATTTAAATAGTATTGAACTTAAAATTGGAATGAAAAGTGTGAATTCTTTCGAAGGAAGCAAACAACCAATTTATTGTGTCAAATATACTCAAAACGGAAAATACATTTTGAGTGGAGGAGAAGATAGAAGTATTAAGCTATGGAATGCAGAGTCGTTTAAAATGATTCAAACGTATAATTCTCCATGTAGAGAAGTCCTTGATTTTGTAATTACTCGAGACAATGGGAAAGTTGGATGTGGAGGGAATGAAGGGTGTGTGTATATGATAGATTTAGCGTCTTCAAATATTGTTCGAAAGTATGGAGAACACGGTGGAGTTTGAAGTCTATTTATTATATAGAATATTATATAGAGTACAACGACATGTACAAACTAAGGTACATCAACATAATAAATCATATCTTAGATAATGTCCATCTTTAAAAATGTTATATAAAAATTAATAACACTTGAATTACTCTATCAACTATAAATAGTAATAAAATACAAATGACAATTAGAGAGTTAATTGCGTCAGTTTTAATGAAGAAGAGAATGTACTTTTAAGTGGATCATATGATATGAAAGTATACATGTTTGATTTAATAGGAAGACAAAACACTCCAATATTTACGTTTTGTGAAGCGAAAGATGCAATAGAGTCGATTCAAGTCGTACAAGAATTAGTATATACAATGTTTGTTATTTTTATTAATTAAAGTAACACGTGTTATATATTATATATCATAGAGACCATAAATGACATATAAGATCCGTGGATGGCTGTTTAAGGTGTTATGATCTTCGCAAAGGACTCCTTACTACTGATAACATTAATAAGCCACTTACAGGTATAAGTATAATCAACAATAAAACATTGGCCCTTTCAAGTTCGTTTGATTCGACAATAACTATTTTCAATCGGGCACTTGTTAAAACAGAAAAGGTGTTGAAGTCCCACGTTAACAAAAAATTCAAAATTCCAAATGTGACTTCTATGGACAAAACAATAATTTTTACGGGAGATGAAGAAGGGTATTTAGTCGAATATTTTTTGCCAACAGTTTGTTTATTTATATTTAATGTCACATGAAAATCTATTTTTATCTTTTGTATAATAGTTGAAGACTTTATGATTATAAGTAGTAACTTGTAGAACAAAAATATGAAAATGAGTGTATCATATACTCCAGTTTGTGCTGTGTCATCCAGCACAACATCAACGGTAATAGCATTCGGGACTCAAGATGGCAAAATTGGAGTAATTTCTTATTAATTTTTAGTACCATTTTTAATACAAAATTTTGTACCAATTATCCTTTTCTAATCCCATTTTTATATATTTATTTATAAATTATACAATACCACAATATGGTTTTATCAATCTTTATTAAATATTTTAGTTGTTTTATAGTTATAATGTTTTTTCAAAAGACTCAGAGAATTCCATCTTTTGGTATAGTAATGTAACAAAGGTTCTAAAACGTACAAAAGTTCAAAAAGAGTTTTCAATGTGACGATTTTTCAAAATTCATCAACAGGTATAAAAAGGTTGTAATTTGAACTTGAAACAGTACATTTAACAACATATGTCATCAAGGTATATAGAAAAGAAGAATTGGTTATCGATTGAAGAGCTTGTTTTGATCTCCATGATCAACCAAAAGTATGCAATCTGTATTAAAACAGGACGTAAGACTAAAAGCTCCTGTTTCCTCAAAATTAAATACTTTGAGCTAAAAACGGAGAAGATATTTGTTGACCAAACAATAAAAGAACGAGTCAACCAACTTTCTGTTGAAAGAAAGGGGGTTTTGGTTTCAAAAATATATCAAGATGAATTAATCAATTACTTACTTGATATATGTGAATTGATTTATTCAAATTTTAAAGTAATTTATTATCCCAAAAGCTCAAAGTTCCATACTATATTAACATCTAATATGAGAATCACTTCCGAAAAAATGAACCTTCTTGCTCTAAAATACAAAAGTGTGATTGGAGCCTTGAGTATTGGCGACAAAAAGATTAAACTTGAAAGAAAAACTCTCCATGCACCAAATGAAATCTTCACACTTTGAAACGGAAGTTGATTATTTCTATTTGTGTTTAAATTCTTAATTTAAAAAAATTATTTTTATATGGTTTAAAATTTTTTTAATAAAATAATAAATTTATAGTTTAAATTATTAATTATTTAATCGTTATAAATAAACCATTATCATTTCTAATCATATTTCGAAATCAAATATATAATAAATTATAGTTTAAATAATTAAAAAATTAATAACAATAAAACAATAAAACTATGGTATGATAATAGTTTTAAATAAATATATTTAAAATTATTAATTAATTTAATTTTGTATATTTTTCGAATCCAAAAAATCAAGAAAAAAAACTAAAAAAAAGTAAGAACTTGAAAACTATATTATTGACATGAGAATAATTCTGGTGTTGGGAATAATACTCATGAGTTTTGGCTATTTTACAGAATTCGATGACATGGATGAGTATGACGATTTCTTTGAAGACGATGAAGAAGATATATTGGACGAATTTGATGACGAACTTTTCGACGAGTTCGATGACGACGAATACGAAAATGAGGAGGACGAGTTTGAGTTAACCCAAGAACCGGCACCCGAAGGCGGAGACCCAAACGCCGCAGGTGGAGATCCTAATGCGGCAGCAGGAGGTGCTGGTGGAGGAGAGGCAGGTTCATGGTCACAAGCGGCTACTACTGAAAGACCTTCAGCCAACGATATCATTGTTTCTGGACAGAGGTTGGTAGCTGAAATGCAGGCCGCCAAGTAATTCACGTTAAATTTTTTCTGTTTATTGTTGTCTCTTATTTTTTGCTCTCTTTTGATATGTTGTTCCACCTTTTTCGATCTCTCGAAATAAGAAAAACTATAAACAAATTATAAATTTATGACATGATATAATTTAATCAATCAAATCAATTTTTAATGGGTTTTGGTTTTTTCTCTTCACGAACTTTTTCGCGGGTACTTCTCTTTTCTTTTTTTGGTGGGTTGTTTGAAATATTTGAGGGTTCTGTTGTTTTGTTGTTTTTTGAAATATGCAAACCTCGTTTTATTGTTTCAAAAGTGACCTCACCCTTCTCAAAAGTGACTGGTTTTAACTCAATCTCAACATCCTTACTCAACAAAACGATTTTCTCCATACAATATTCAGTTGATCTATTTACCCTAAAAAAATAAAAAACAAAATAAACGAAAAAACGAAGAATGTGATTCTAATTCTTTTAAATAATTTATTTATTATTGTTTATAATAAATTTAGTTAATAAATCTTTAAAAATTTTTATTAGTAAATAATTATTATTATATTATAAACAATAATATTGTTTTTAAAAACCAAATTAAATAAAATAATTATAAAAATCGTAATGATTTTAACATTTTTACAAATTCGCTGAAAAATTTTTTCAAATGATTACAATTTATAATTTATTGTATATTAAAAATGTTTTTCAAATATCAATCACAATTGTACCAATAAATAATAATATAATACTTAATAAATATAATACTATTAAATCAAATTAAATAACACTGACTGAATTGGACTATTAAAAAACAAACAATTTGTTCAAACTAGTTGAAAGACATGATTCCTCATAACAACTATAATGAACTTAGATATTTTGAACTATAAAAATAAGACATGTCGAAACACGGTAAATCGCGTTTAGAGTTATTTTACATGATGAGTGTTGGGATGTACATTCCCGACTTTGATACAATGAAGTTGTTTTGTGCCGTGAGTAAGTCCTGCAAAGACGCACTCCACGCATTAAAAATCAATCCGAATATGGAAGATACCATACACTATCGTTCAATTATGACTATAAAAGAACGTCAGGAATTTTTCAAGAAGGAGTTGGCATTCTTTGAGAAGACAGAGACGCTCTGTGGACCATTTTCAATGATCTCAAAATGGCCTGAAGCTGATGTTCTAAAATATCAACTCTTCAGTCTTTACTTTGATGGTGCGGGGTCGTTCGAACTCTTTTCGAAGATTCAGCCACGTATCACATCACTCGAGTATGTCTCTAATGGGATGTTTGAAGGCACTGATGAAATGCCACTCTTGAAAAAGTTCAAAGCAGTCTTCTTGCCATCCCCACAAGACCACACTATCGCTAAAATACAAAAAATGGTGTCGGGAAAAGGTTTAAAGAACTTGGAAAGTTTTGTCGTTGTTTGTTATGACTCAGTCTCTAAGTTCTTTCCCCTCGTGAAGGATTGTGCAACTGCACATCCAGAGTGTAAAATTGGTGTCTTGGTCAAAGGAAGTGTTGGAGAAGCTGATTATATGAAGTTCCAACCTTACGCTTATGTGTTGACGACTTCTCCAGAGGCTATGTTTTATGGTGTTATCGAGAAAGAACTTAGAGTCGTTTTGTCAAAAAAGTGAAGGAAAGTAAGACTTATTGTTTTAAGTTTTATATATAATATAACATAATATCATATATTGTAATATATCATATATAAATTTAAATCAACAAATCAAATGTGGGGTAATGGTTCAGGCGCAAATTATCGGGATATAAAGAAGGAATCAGGGTAGTTAAATTATTACTATTATCTTTCTTTGTAAATTTAATTGTATTATTTTGTATAATACATTTAACTAATAATATAATTATTTTAAAAAAGAAATACTTTTTTTTAAATAATTTATGATTGGAAACTATATTTTTTGCAGACAGTAATTTGGGACTTGTGAAGGAAATTGATAAAAAGAAAGAGGAAATGTTTGTTTGAAAAAAACTAAAAATAACAAAACTGTATAATTCTCAAATAATAATGGTTAATAATTTCGCAATATAATGGGATATCTTATTTTTATTTTTTGAAAAAAATATTTAATAATTATATTTCAAATAAGTTAAAAAAAAACTTTTAGATGTGTTTTTAAAGAAAAAGTCAAAGAACTATATTTGAAATAAAGTATAATTATAGTTTCATAATTTAAAATATACTATACATTTTTTTTGAACAAGAAAGCATAAGTCCTATTTTTAGCTGATTTTACCCAAATCGAATTACAACCCCTATCAAACAGTTTGTAGTAAAATAAAACCAAAAAAACTAAATTATCTTTTGCATGGTCAATAACTATTTTTAGTTAAAATGTCATAAGTATAGTAAAACAACTATAAAACAAGCTAATAAAATAAAGAAAAATCACGGCGTATTCTTTTTTTCACGGCAGATTTGCACGAATATCATTTAACAACAATTTATACAACGAAAAAACCCGTCAATAAAACCTACGATTTATCAATAAAATAATCAGATGACCATAAGCCACGAATTGCCAATGTATTTTTTCAGAGTAAAATCACACAAAAATAGAATAAAAATAACACTCGATTAAAACATATCTTTTCAGCTCAAAGCTTCAACAATTGTCTTTTGATAACTTCTTGAATAATACATTTATTATTAAAACTATCATATTAATTCATTCACCCGATTTGTTGTTTTGTTTTCATGGAAAACCCATCTGGTAATGTTAAATAGAGTTGAGGCTATGAACCCCTTCAACCTTTCAGCGTACCCCATGTCTTATCCACCACCCTCACGGCAAGCACCTCCAGAATTTCGTCCCGTTACACAAGACCGTCGCGAGCGATATTTTGACGACAACCAATATCAACAAGACCAGCAACGCTCTCAACAATTCGAACCACTCAACCCTCCTCCACAAAATCCAAATCAATTTGTATCACCCGTCCGATACGCGTCGTTGACCGGAGAGAAGGAACCTTCACCTTTCCCATTCCGTTTGGATCGCGTTAGACATTCTTCATTAACTAATAACGGAGGACAAGCCCCTTATTATCATCAAAGAATGTCCCCACCACCCCCGATGATGACAGTCCACAGAGACCCATACGAACAACCATTTGAATATCTTCCACACCAACGAACGTCGTTACCTTATGGCGATAGACCAATGACTTCATTAAGACCAATCTCGCCAGACTTTTACTCGAGAGGGTCGTACGATCGGAACTCACAACGACTCTACCCGGGTGACATTCCAATCAAAAACGAGTTTGATTCATACGCATACACCTCCACAAAACCAACACGAATGAGTATGTCGGAGGAGTCCGAAAGTCGGTCGTATTCGGCGCCAATCAAAACTGCGGTGCCCCGTGTTGTTCCCGACAAAGACGTGTTGATGACACCAGAGTACGTTGGAAGGAAAGAATTCGCGACAATGGAAGACGCTGTTGCTGTACTAACACAGTGGGCAGAGTCTCAAAATGTGACACTTCGAAAGGGGAGCGGCAACAACAAAACAATGAAAGACGGGACAAAAAAGAAAATCGTGTTAGTGTGTCAGTGCTCTGGGAAGTATCGGAGCTGCTCGTATTCTCCCCGCGGGGGCTCTGCGTCGAACTCGAGCTGTGAAGATGCCTCGGCACCTGCAAAAACACCGAAGAAACGACGAAGCAAAAAGACGGAGTGCCCGTTCCGAATCAATCTCAACTACAGGGCGAATAGCAACACGTGGAACATCACTAAAATGATTCTACAACACAACCACCCATGAAAAGAATGTCGATTGTTATCTATTTTATTGTGTTTTAAATGCACTTTTGTCTCGTTTCATTGATGGTTAATAGGTTTTTGTATTTCTTCGTGAGTCAAATACATTGGGCGGACTAATCAAAACTAAAATCAGTTATGAGCAGGACCTTCGACAGGTTCAATGGTGTCTTCTATTTTCACATAATCGCCTTGTTCAACTTGGGTGTCTGGCTCGGGCACTTCAGTTGCGTTTGTAAGAGATGGTGGAATACCATTGTTGCTTTCTTCGTCTGTATTAAGTCCTCTATTTGAAGGGAGAGAAGCATAGTACAGCGTTTCGTTTCTCTCTTTCTTCTTATCTTCTTCAATTTGTTCATTGCGGTAATACTCGTCATAATCACTGGTGACAATTTTGTACTTCCGCGGAAACCAATTGAGTTCTCCAAGGATATTCACAAAGGCCGGAAGTAATAACGATCTTACTACAAATGTATCCAATAGCACACTGAACATCAAAATGAACGCAAATTGGTTCAACATCAAAACGTTACTTAAGAAGAGTCCAGAGAATGCAACAGCCATGATAATGCCAGCGTAAGAGATTAAGTACCCGGCTTTCTCAACACCAGCAATGACACTCAATTTGGTCGATAAACCTTTTCTTCGCAATTCCATAATACGTGAAAACAAGAAAACATCATAGTCAGAAGAGAGTCCAATGATAATAGGGAATGTGATGACAGGAACAACCCAATAGAGTCCAATGGAATCCGCCATGATATCTGCCGTCCAGTCAAAGTAATCATTGCAGAACACAAAAGACGCAAACCCGTATGTCCACAACACGGTGGTCACAGTTGAAAATACTACACGTAAAGGTACAATAAGTGATTGAAAACTAATGCTAGTTATAATCAAAACAATGCAAAACAACACGACAACGATAATTGGGAAATATTTGAAACATATGACTATGGAATCAGAAATATCCACTTCAAACCCTCTCACATACACATTGTAATCCGTATTATGTTGTGTCACGTTGTCAATAATACTTCTCACAAATTCGAGACGTTCATCAGACTGTTCTTTGGGATTGAATAAAGGAATAAAAGTGCATCTGGTTGTCGTCTTATCTGGAGAAACACTCTTGTCAAAAAACCACTTGTACAAATCGTCGTTGTATAACCACTTCATTGCTCGTCCAGATACAGTGTGTCCGCCAAAATAATTGATACAGGTGTACGATGTGTTTGAAAAGTAATCTGGATATTGAGTAAAGGCGTCCATTAAGTCAGTTGTCAACTTTTCATATTGTGTACTGAATACGTCAATATCCGTTTTCGCTGTAATGACAAGTTCGTACGGATATATAACACCTTCCGGATACTCGTTTAATATATAAGAGCGCGTTACCATTGAATCACTTGCGGCTGGAATAATCTCGTTGTCTTCCTCATTCCACGAAAAGTCTTTGATAAATACACAAAATGGAATTATCAAGCAAATGACGACAACGATGACAATTAGTGAATACCACTTGTTTGAAATAAACAATGCAAATTTGTGCCAAAGGGATTTCTTGCTGTCGTATGAGCCTTCCTTGTTTTCAACCCACACACGACACTTTTTGATACATGGTATAAACCCTCGTCTGGCGAAAAACTTGGGGAAGATTGAGAGAATAGACGGTGTCAAAGTCAGGTTTACAATAATAGTAATGAATATGGATATCGCAGCACTCATTCCAAGTGTTATAACAACATCAAGGGGGAAGAAACACAACGAAACAAAACACAGCGTCAACAAACCACCAGATGTTGCAATAATTCTCCCAGAATGTTGTAACATGTTTTTAATTGCAGTGTAAGAGTCGTGTTTTCCAACAGTCTCTTCTGTAAACCGTGTGAGGAGGAACAAACTGTATTGTTAATTGATAATTAAAATATACATTCAAAGTTGTGTTTATGTTTTTTAACAACAAAATATTAACATATTTTATTATTTTGTTTATTAATACATTTATCATATTAATATATAAAAACAAACCTATAATCTATACTCATTGCACAGATACAACTCATCATAAGTGCGGGTGCAACACCGTAAATATCAATGGCAAATGTAATGGGATACATGATACCAAATGACACTGCGAAAGATACTGATATAGTACACAAAGGTATAATCATCAAAGTTAAACTCTTCAATACCCATAACAACACCAAAAATGCAATAGGAATAACAGAAACGTCCATCTTAAGCAAGGAAACCATCACTTCATCTTGCAAATCAACACTTCCTGCCTCAAACCCAGTCACACCTGTATAGTAATTGCTGTCAGTGTTGAGTCTCTCCATCTCTTTTCTCAAATTTTTAATAAACGGGGGAATAGCAGACCCATCTCTGTCATCTATATTGACCATAATCATAGTAATGTCCCCCTTTTCTCCAACAAACTGTTTCTTCGCAATGTCCAATATCTCTTGATCAATCGACGAGTTTAAAGTTGGCAACAAATAGTAACCAGAGTAACTCACAATGATCTTTTGTTGGTCCATCCACGTCTTCATTGACAACGAAAAGTCTTCTGTATAGTTCGTGATAACATTGCTTCCATCTTTGGTTTTGATTGCTATGACATTTTTCCCCACTTTAAAAGAGTCGGGAAATTTCTCCAAGACAACTGAATTTGCTTCGTAAGCCAGTGTTCCTTCTGGTGGTTCGACAAAGAGTGATGTTGATCCTAGAAATTTCAGTGCAGGGTAACAGAACCCTAAGGCACACACCAACCAAAAAACAATAATTGCATATCGCAAGTAATGCATCACTTTGAATATGTAATTAAATACTTTATCTTCACGACTCGGGAGCTTCGTTTGTTCTGAACTATTTAACAGTGGCTGGTTATCCGCCATTGTTGTTTAATAATGGCAAAAGAAGATCCTTTTTATATGGCTTGTGATTATTTTGTGAGTGAAATGAGTGAATGACATAATCAACTTGCATTTAGTTTTTGAATGAATTTTTTTATTATATTTTTCTTAAGTCAGAAATTGAATGCAAATTACAGTGTTTTTCGAGAGAAAAAATAATCACAATTTTTTTTGTATTTTTTTCAAAGAAAAATGTTAATTTTGTTTGTTGTTTT